AAATAAACAAATAATGAAAAAAAATTATACGAAGTTCGAATAAACCAGGATGTAAATACGCGATTACGAGTATAAGGTATTCTATACATATATCATACAAATTTAGATATTATATAAATATATTAACACAGACTTGCACACATACTTTAATCCACTTAAATACATACAGTATAAATATATACAAAATATTATATATATATATATATATATATATATATGCCATGATAAATGAGGAAATATGTGACGATGGAATCATTCTTATGAAAAAAGTGTTAATTCACACTTGCAATGCTTTTCTAAAGTGTTCACGAACTGGTATAGTTATAGTACAAATGGGTCGGCTCGACCAGAGAAGGACCACGCTCTCACAGAATACCAGCGTAAAATAGTAGCATTACGCTGCTTTGTTTCGTATGGTGAGTGTAGAGAACCGGCGATACATTTTTACTGGAAACGAGGCATTCCATCTTAATCCTCACGGATGACAACGCTCTGCATTTTGATTCGTAATCGAGGATAGATGTAGATATCTATGGGCCACAGCAACCACTTACCATCAGGTGGACTGTTTACTCGTTTGTCACCCTAATTATATTAAAAAAAAGAACTTTGTTTTTGAATAGAAAGTTGTTGAATGCTTTTTGGCGGAACAAGCGTATCAACAAAGTAGACAACTCAGGTGCATAAGCCTTTAGGACTATAGCTGGTATACCATCTGGTCCACTAGCTTTATTCACATCTAGACACCGCAAGGTTTTAAGAACCTCCTTATTCGTTATACGAATCTCCGACATAGAGGTCGCGCAGTGAGGTAATTTTGGTGGAACGTTGTTGCCACTGTCCAGACGTGAATTGTAGGCAAAGAGGGACGCGAACAAGTCCGCTTTCTCCTTAGCCGTATGAGCCAGTGTGCCATCCGGTTTTACCAACGGAGGCAGTATAGGCCGACAGAAGTTTGTCTCGACCGCTTTGGCGAGAGACCAAAAAGCTCAAGTGCTGGATGGTCTGGCAGAGAGTTTTGCGCCAATATGTTTAATGCGATGGAGACTATCTTTCCGTAATGTTTTTTTGTAGGACTTGGCGGTCTGGTTGAAAGTTTTCTTTTTGAAGCTAATATCCCGAGCTTTGCGTTTTCGAGCGTCAACCCAGGATAGGTAAGCTAAATGCTTGCGCTTTTCAGCTTGGGCGCATTCAACACTAAATACCGCCATCATTTAATAAAGTATATAAATAAATCTATTAGGTTATTTCTGGCACAAACTCGTTTGTGATACCGTTCAAACACCAATTTAGAGCCTTTATCTTTATAAGATACTTATAAGATAGTATTTGTAGTGTAATAGTTTCCATTTACACCAAATAACAGCAACAATACAGCTATTATACAGTCCATTTTATGCTTGTACAGCTACTGTACATCGCTACTAAGGCATAAAGCTGTATAATTTGTGCCAATTTTTTTACTTACAAGAGCTGTATAAACGCTTATAAAGCCTATGTACAGCCAGTAAATGCAGCCTCTAATATAAAAAGGAACTTCAATACAGCTCCTATACAGCTTGCATGCTGCTTGGGCATTCAGTGTTGCCGCGTATACAAAAACAAAGTTCCCCGTGGCTGACATTTATATATGTGAATTTATTGTTACTATATTTTGTAATATAATATCTTTAACTTATTATAATATAACCTAATTCTATATTATTTAACGTTTATTTTTGTAGTGCTGCTCAAATGACCTAATATTTATACGTTGTTTTATTAGTTGTTATTTTTATTATTAAAACATTATTTCCGTTTATTAGGGTCCGTACCCAAAGAGTGTCAACAGGACCTAAGTTTCTACTATCGTTCCGTCTGTCTGTAACAACATATAATAAAAATAATACTGATAGTTGCAGACCGTTCTTTTTTAAATATAAAATATTAACTTTACCCAGCTTATATATATTGGAGATTTGTAAATTTGTTCCAAAAAAATAAGCAATTTTATACAAAACGTGATTTACCATGCAAATACACGTTACGACACAAAAATAAATTAGTATTGCCAACTTCCCGATTAAAACTAAACAGTTCTAGCACATTGAGTTCTTCCATAAAAATTTATAATAAACTACCTGACATATTAAAAAATGAAAATAATGACATCATATTTACAAAAAAATTAAAACAGTACCTAACTAATAAATGTTACTATAGTACTAATGAATATTTTACAAATATGTAATACTTATATAGGTTTTACAAAATGATCACTAATTTAAATGACTTACTTTAACTCAATAAATCACAACACGCCTGACCACAAGATTAGTTATGTGTTTAAGACTTTCAATACACACTAACATTCCAAAAATCCAGTATTTGCTTGAGTACTTATAACTGGTTTAAAACGTTTAATCATTATTTTCTTTTGTTGCTTGTGTTCTTTAAAAGAAAGCTTTCTGGGGGTTTTACTATTTAAGTTTGTAATATATTGTTTCGCATGTTCTAAATAATTAAGAATATTATTTTTATTTCCATTATAAATGCGATGACTAAATCCATGTTGCTTCAAATCTCTGGTATTGAATATATTGTTAGGAATGAGGGTAAAATAATTAAAGAAAATAAGAAATATTGAAGGTAGAACTATAATCTCCCACTCGTTTTAGCAGTATAAAGTATCACGCAGTCGACTAAGAGGGAGCAGTCATTCTGTAATTCTACGAGTCTCATATCGTTATTATGCCCGTTGGGCTGAAACATTACCTTTACACTGAGATTTTGCCCAAATAAGACAAGTGATGCGGTTCTATTCGTGTAGTAGTTCTTCTAGTGTAAGCAAGAAAGATCGTGTTGCTGAGAGGCTGCCCGGTGTAACACGAGAGAAGTAGTGTTGCTGTTGCTTTGCATACTTTGGTGTTATCATGTAATTATGTCCTGCACGTTACACCAATGTGTGATTGTGTCTGGTACATATTACGGTTGGTCGAACTGTATTTGCTCTATACTGAATGTATAGTGCTGTACGCTGTCTTATTACCGATAATGATCAATTGCGTAAGCAAGAGAGCAAGTTGAACATCCGTTCTGACACTTTTATTATTTTTAACAATTAATCTTCAGAGTAAACTCTAATACGAGTAACATTATTTTATTTACATTATTTTGAGAATAATTTCTAACGTCAGAAGTGTAATAGTTTCTAATAATATTCAATAAAACTACTTGTCGCATTTTTTTGATCAATAATCCCAAGATTTCAATTGCAACGGGATTATGTCACTACCTACAAGATGGCAACAAGTTATCGAACAAAATGGACCCATATATATTATAATTAAATGTAATAAAACTTTAAAACAAAAATGTCTTGAATTTGTATATAAAATATGAACCAACTTATTCCCCGACCTTATATACTAAGTAAAAGTGTAACAAAATAGTACTCAATAACTTAGGTAATGATTCTGCGTGTAAACATGAATAAATTTATTATGGGGTCATCTTCGAAATTTTCAATCTGTACGTGGTAGAGCCATACTGCAGCTATATTACTGGTATATTTGTAGCAAGAATGGGTCAGCTCGACCGGGGATGGACCACGTTCTCACAGAACACCAGTGTAAAATAGCAGCTTAACGCTGCTTTGTTTCTTATGGTGTGTGTAGAGAACCGGAGACCCTTTTCACTGGAAACGAGGCATTGCATCTTAGTCCTCAAGGGTTGCAACGCATCTGCATTTTGATTCTTAACCTAAGATAGATGTAGATTTCTATGAGCCACAGAAACCACTTACCATCAGATGGACTGTGTGCTCGTTTGTCACCCTGATCATGTAAAAAAATCTCAAAATTAGTTATTCCATACAGAATTTCGTACAAACTTGTTCAAAATGTATGGAAGACTTGATTTTTCTTACGATTTCGAAGATAGATCTATAGTAAAATTTGTTCATATTGACGCGTAGAATAGAAATAGAAAGCACTATTTTGGTTACCTCATATAACATATAACTAATTTTTTAAATAATTTGTGAATTCAGACATTTAAATATAAAATTAAACTGATAGAAATGAGGCCTTATCATTTATATGACATTTATTCAGAAGAAAAACATATACATAATATACACAAATATATTGATACATATATAATCATTATAGTTTAAAATTCAATCAGTCATTAAGATCCACTTTTTATCGTTAGTAAATCACTCCGCTAGAAAATCGATAGGCTTTCAATCAGAGAACAATCGCTTGATCGTATGCTAGCGATCCAATCTTCGGAAAGATCGGTTCGAATCGGCGCCTCACTAAACCTATATAAAAGTATCAGTGAGGTTGAATACTCGTAATTGTAAATCTGAACTGTAGAAACAAATAAGTAATTTATACGGTACAAAAACTTGATTTACTTCTTCATCATTCCGTGTTATTATACTTATACCGTCATATTTTGTGTTATATTTTATATTTATATGGCCCATCCCTAATAGAGTAATAAATAATATTGAATGGCTAATTACTCTATTTAAAAAAAATTAACAGGCGGTATAATTTCAGACTGAGAAGCACCCCTTTTTAGTACAAACAAACCCTAAAAGAATTTTCACACTAATATCTTAAAACTTTAAGCAAGAAATTCTTGTAGTAACTATATTTTTCTTGTAATACCTATAGTTCAAATGGCAAGGCTATCCTGCCTGTGTGCTTTGATGGGATCAGTGATGTTAAAATGATTGCTAATTCATTTAGGGATTATTTTCAGTTGAGACCTTCCTTGCTGTCGGTGTTTGATGTTGAACGTTTTGCAGTAAAAAAGCCTGTTGATTTTTCAAGTAAGGATGTGGCTGACATTATAAGAAATATGAAAAGATGGAAGTCACTAAGTCATGAGGGACTCAGTGTCGAGCACTTGCAACATGAGGGAGTACACTTGTATAGGGTGTTAGCCATGTTTAGACTTTTTGCATACGGCATTCATATTAACCATCTTATCTTATGAGAACACAGGTAGTGCCAATAGTTAAAAAAACGACACTAAAAAAAAACAATATTTTTTGCCAAGTACAATCATGTATTGTAGACACATAATAAAGATTTTCAAATTTTTGCACTGATAAATCTTCTCAATGATAATCCCTTGATCTTTATTTGTTTTTACTTAATTTAAAGTACCTACTAGTTTAGATTAGTTTCGTATTCAGAAACTGCAGTTTCATAACCAAACCCTGAAGCAGCTTCATAGCCAGGGCCAGAGGCGGTACCATAACCAGACCGTGAAACAGCTTCATAACCAGAGCCTGAGGCGGTTCCAAAGCCAGACCCCGAAGCTGCTTCATAGCCAGATCTTGAGGTGGTTTCATAGCCAGACTCTGATACAGCTTCATAGCTCAAGCCTGCCGCGGTTCCACAACCAGATTGATGTTGCAAATTGCTAGAGACATCTTCAGATGTTGGAGCTGGAGTTCCCTCTATGTAGTTTAATTCGGCGTCAGTTACCATATTAAATATTTGTCTATATTTGGACCTGCACTCTTTCTGGTAGTTTTTTTATTATGGCAGCCATTGTTTGAAAGAACAAATCAATGGGGTCCACCTTTTTTTTCGTAGTATTTCAGCAGTCGTTATAGGTTCTGGTCTTATTAAAGAATGGTGTGAATCATTGGTCATTCGCGAAACTAAACGTACATCATTATCATCGACAGCGGATTCTGCGAAAGAAGTCTGCGTATCCTCTGAAGAGGAGTCCAAATTCGAGGTTTGTTTTCTGTGCTGAATGATTTTTTTCAAAAACTCCAGCTCTTTTTCAAACTTGATAGAGCGTCGCTTTGTGTACGGGTCACCGCTCTTTGTTTTTCTGTTATTCAGAGCTTTCCTAAAATTATTACGTATATTACCCCATATTTTCTGACATTCTTCACCTAAAACAAAACATAAGCAGGTAATATGGTATAGAACCAGAATAAGTAGGTAATGGGAAAAGGCCTTAGATAGTGACTAGGTTAGCACCAGCTATGTTTATGGGATTATATTGAGCTAATCTTTTTCTAAGTAAAAATTACCACTGGCATTACGGTGAAGGAAAATATCGTGAGGAATTTATAATTATATATAAATACATGTTACGGCCCTAAGTTGCCCCAACAAAAGTCGACTGGACCCGGGCCCATGAGTGATCCCCTCGATTAGCAACAGAGGGTTCGTGCCCAAATGGCCTTATGGAAATGTTCTATCCTACTACTCTTTAAGGGGAAGGCTAGTCGAATAGAGAGTATTTACCTACTAAGGTACTTACCTGCTTGAAGCGGAGACTGGTCACCAGGATCTGTCAGGCTGAAGGTGTAGTGCATGTAAGTGATGTTTGTAAGTGTCTGTGTTTAGGTGGCCTAAACCAGATGGCACAATGCTGCCCCGAAGGCGGTATCCTCCGGCGGCGTCCCCGGTGGCAATTTATTTCTTCAAGGCACTAGGTCAGTCTATTCACGTTATTGTACATTCAGCTAACTTCAAAAGGAGAGCTAAATTCCGTTAATCACAGTCAAAGACTCCACACGTGGCGCGACCGACGACAGTGGTACAGTTCACCTACGTTCGCGACGCGGCAAATTAAGAAAAAAAAAAACAAACGTCCGTTACGATCGGCAGATTTTTACAATTAAATACTAACTTCTACATAATTAGACAACCTAGCAACTAAGATTCTAGACTACACGCTTATTATTCACTGCACAAGGGGTAAATTAGGCACGCACCACATACAAATTCAGAGGTTGATCGCAATCAATGTTAACTTCCTAACAATTTGTAAACCCGGCGTCTAATTCTAGACTACAATTCCTCGTCGTTGCACAATTTGCTAACAAAACCGACTATAAAAAATGGAGGTTATACCGAGCGACTTCACGACGTGGTCTCGACAGCACTGCTTTCAAGCAACTGACTTTTTGCGCTCGCGCCCTCTACCAAAGCCACATAGCTCGCCCGAACGTCAAAATCGGTATGGCACTGAGCCGAGCGCCCTCCGGAGTCAAATCCCGAAACCAGCGTTTGGGCGTGAACAATACATATATCGTATTATTTAATTGACTTTGTTTAACTGTGCCCTGTCTTTCACTCTGCCTCACTTACCCCTACTTATATTATCTTTCAGATTTTTGATCACGTGAAGTAGCTTTAAGTCTCTAGGTTACAGCTATCGTATGGGATTTAGTACAGTGCGCTCTATAGTACATGAAACTTGCCGATACATTTGGAATGTCCTAAGCCCTAGTGTTATGCCAAAACTAACAAGAGAAAAATGGAATTTCCCGAACTGCATCGGTGCAATAGATGGTAAAAATTTCAGGATAAAGGCACCTCGCAATAGTGGAAGTCTCTACATAAACTATAAAAAGGTTTTTAGTATCGTACTACTAGCAGTTGTGGATGCAAATTATAAAATTGTGATTGCAGATGTAGGATTATATGGACGAAATAGTGATGGAGGTATAATGCAAAACTCAATATTTGGAAAAAAATTGACTTCTAATGCCCTCGGTATTCCCCCAAAAAAACGTTTACCGAGGACAGATCTTGAGTTGCCCTATGTTTTTGTAGCAGACGAGGCTTTTCCGTTAACCACAAAAATTATGAGACCATTTAGTGGCGATCGATTGACAGATGAAGCAATGGAAATATACAATTATCGTTTGAGTGTAGCCAGGCGTATCGTCGAAAATGCATTTGGTATACTTCAAGAACGTTTTGAATTATGTCAAAAAGGAATTCAGGTTTAACCAAAATATATTGATAATATCAATTTAGCATGTACTTGCTTAAATAATTTCATCATAGGTGGTACAGCACAGAAAGCCAAAATATAGCAAGTGTAAGCATTAATTTAGAAAACGATAATAATATGAACAATGCATTAGATGGTATGACGGTACGGTAGATGTTTAAAAATTACTTTAAGTCTGATGAGGGCTTGATTCAATGGCAAAACGATATTGTAAATAGACATTAATACCGTGTTAAATTTTAAAATATAATTATATCGCAAAAATATTTACCTGTTTTATTCATTTCTATTCCAATTCTTTTCCACGCATTGTTCTTCATCTGAGTGTTCATATAATTTTTTGATGACATATTATATAAATAATCATAGGCTTTAACTAAAGTTATTAATTTTTCCTTCATGTTGGAATAAAAAACGTAAAAAACTGGTCTCCGAAAAAATCACGTAGTTACACAGTCGTCAAAGACGCAGGCGCAAATGGATGGTCAATGGTTTGCATTCCCCGCTTATCTACAGGTGGCTACTGACCTGCCTGCCGCAGGGGCAATCTAGGGTGTAGGAGTGGGGATGACCCTTAATTGCCTCCTTAATTGTGATGTGTGTAGGCAAGCAGGGGCATTTTTTTAAATCGGCCCTGCGGCAGGGCGGCAGGAGCGCAGTGTTGCAAAAGTTCCCGATTTATCGGGAGATCTACTGATTTTAATAAGTATCTCCCGATATCCCGATTTAGCGAACGTATCTCCCGATTTTTTTACAATTTCAACTAATGTAAAATAATAATCATAAATAAAATTAAAAAGTAATAATCAGAATACTAAAATGAACTTTTAACACAAAATTTATGTACGGGGACTTCCCGAATTTGCTCGCTCCACGTCCTATGGAACCTATACCAATAACCTTATTAGGTTTTTAACTTCGCGGTATGGTTAAATCATATTGCACTCATACATCTTAAAATAGATTTCATTATTCTCTGGAAGTGTACGGGGGAGATCCCTAAAGATTACTTTGTTCAGGTTGTTTTACGAATTAGGTAGCTTAGGCCATGTATATATAGTGTTGTTCGTTCATAGAATTACATTCACTAATTACTAGCCTTCTTCTGTTTTGTTGATAACTGTTGTGCTTTATGTCCAAATTTGTTAGGTAGCATTGGTTATCAAAAAATTAATTTAGAATTGCGTTTGCTTCTAAATACGAAAGAAATTAAATCAATCAGTGAAGAAACAGAAGAATTTTGGAAAAGCGTGAGTAGCAAAAATATGTAATCATAAAATTTTAGTTTAAATTATAAAGACATTATTTTGATCGCAAAAAAAATGAAACGAAAAAGAACGACATCTAAAAAAACGTTTTATGATACATTTCTAAACCCATGGATGTAAATAAAAATCTCCCCGTTGCCAAATAAAAAATTGGTAGATTTGCCTGCTAAAAATCTGGTTTTTAGCAGGCAAATCTACCAATTTTTTATTTTTCACTTTTGCAACACTGCAGGAGCGTAAGACCTTCATTGCTCTCTAGATTGGCCCTGCCCCTGTCGCGTGTGTAGCAAAATTGGAGCAATTTCAATCAGTTCGTTGCGACTTTCGCGCGGAGCACACGTATGAGTACAAGTCTAACAGTGGTAGAGCCACGCGGCAGCTTTTGCTGTCGCACGGATGGGCCGGCTCGAACCGGGGTAGTACCACGACCTCACAGAAAACCAGCGTGAAGTAGAGGTTTACTTCTGCGTTTCGCTTGGTGAGTGCAGGTGGCCGGAGGCCCTTTTTACTGGAAATGAGGCATTCCATCTTAGTCCTCACGGGTGACAACGCATCTACATTTTGATTTGTAATAGAGGATAGATGTAGATGTCTATGGGCCGCAGCAACCACTTACCATCAGGTGGACTGTGTGCTCGCTTGTCACCCTTATCATATAAAAAAAAAGTCAGAACCGCAGAAAGAACGTCATTTGAACGTTGTAACTTACAAGTAACATTACTGGGACTTGTTTCGTAACTTATGGGAAGGAATATATTCCAATAGTATTAAAATTGCCGGAATATAAATAAAATGTCATTAACTAAATAATTATACAACTAAATAATTAAATAATTACACAAAAACACAAATATTAGGAATTAAATTTATTAAAAATCATCATGAGAAAACTATCCTGGCTATTTTGTAACACTAGTTAAATTATAGCTACTAAGCACTAGTTAGCTAAGTTACATCGCAGAATAAATTGGTTATATTAAATTATGACGAGTGAAGTTAGTCATATTTAATCGTCTTTGATAGCCTAAAAATAGCGTGACAGA